AGTCGTGGACTAGATCCTCCGGATATGGCCCAAGCTCCGTCAGGAACCTCTCCGGGTCCATCAGGCGCCTGGGACGGAACCATCTACGCGGTTCCGTCTCCCTGCGGCGGGGGGAAGCGGTCCGGAAATCCATCCTAAGGAGTGCATGATCTGACCATGCCAAGGGCTCTATAACTATCTCCCCCATTTCCAGATCATTATGCCACTGGCCAGAGACAAAAATTAGATCTAGTGTATGTCCTCCCGTGTGAGTGGGGGCATGAACTAATTGGGTCAAGTCCAAGGTCGTCATGGAAGCCAAGAACTCCCGAGCTGCCGCCGACGCCTCGCCCGCCGATGGCAGGTTGAGATCCCCCATGACTATAAGTCTGGGGGTCTCCACTGCCACCCCGGCTATTACGTCAGCCAGCTCAGGCAGGGCCATTGATACATAGCAGGGGGCCAGGTATATAATCAACAGGCCCACTTGCACCCCTTGCCCCCATTTCACAAGGAGGGACTCTACACCGTCTATCTGAGGCACAGTGGTCTCCCTCGGACATAGGCTCTCCCTTATAATGGCCGCAACCCCACCGCCCCTACCCCGGGCCCTCGGTTGATGGAATGCCTGGAAACCCGGCGGGCATAGATCAACAAGGGGAACTCCCCCTTCCATGCCCAGCCAGGTCTCGGTGATACCTGCCAGGTCCGCTCCCCCCTCTTGAATGAGCTCTTGAATGAGGGGGGCCTTATTTACAACGGACCTGGCGTTGCATAACATCAGCCGATGATTCCGGGCCCGAGGATCTAAAGTCCCTGGTAGTCGAGTAGAGCCCTGAGGATCGGAGCACCCACAAGCTTGTAAGCAGCGTGTGCGTGCTCCCAAAACCCGATATGGTCCTCTGCTCCCGCCATATCTGCCCCTCCCACTGACCGTACCAATCACACCACCCTCTATTAACCCCCCAGTCTCCTCCCTCACCGCTCCGCGCCCCTCAGACTGGACTGGCCTTGGCCTCAGAGAGGGCTCCCCCAAGTCCCCTCGGGCCAACCCCGAACCCCCTAAAAATTTAATAAAACACCCCTCTAAGAAGACTCGCAATTTTGAGAATATTAAATACTTGGTCAGTGTTATTGGACACTGTGACTATGTTTGCCTAAGGTAGTAAATTGGAATTTCCTCAGTTTTAGCAGTGAACACATAGCATTGGTCCCTTCCTTTATTGCCTGGTTCCTTTTGCCAGGGAGTCTGTCTTACAGACTTGGCTATGATTATTGGTGTATTGCTTACATTATATAATCCATGTTGTTTTGACTGGTTCAGTCAACAGCTAGTAAAATTAGTCTTTGATGTACGACCACAAGGAAGCCCAACATTTCCATTGCTAAGGAAGGCAGTTGTTAAGTGAGTTGCGCTCCATTTTACAACCTTTTTGCCACAGTTTTTTTTAATGAATCATGGTTTCCACCATTGACTTTGCTTGTTAGAAGCTGGCTGGGAAGGTTGCAAATGTTGGTCGCATGACCCCGGGACAGTGCAGAGTCATAAATGCATGCCAGTTGATCATGTGGCCATGGGGATGCTGCAACGGTCATAAGTGAGAGAACCAGTCATAAGTCATTTTTTTTTATCATTACAAATCTAGAAGGGGGGAATGTATTGATTCTGGGGGTTTTTTCTTCCTCTCCTATGGCGTTTGATGGCTTTCTTCTGCTTTAGCTGAAGAAGATGAGGATAAGGAGGATGACTTCCGAGCTCCCCTATACAAAACTGTGGAAATAAAGGGTATTCAAGTGCGTATGAAATGGTGTGCAACATGCAGATTCTACCGGCCCCCACGCTGCTCCCATTGTAGTGTCTGTGACAACTGTGTGGAGGTAAGATAAAATGAGAAGAGAGCTCCACTAAAGAGATTCAAAATGCTTATTCTATGCGGGATGTTGTTTGGCATAATCTGGGCTGCTTTTAATCAATTTCGGAACTTGAGTATTGAGTGTCAGGTTTTATAATCTAATCTTGAGAAAGAAAAAGGGAAGGAGACGGGAATAAGGGACAGGACTTTTAGGGGGGGGTGTTAAATCGGCTGTTCCTTTTTCTTATGTCAGCTTTTTCCCTGAAATGGGAATTTAAGGTGATGTGCATAAGCTTTTCAGATTCCTCCCATCCAGCGTTTGAACAGCCCCAGACCTGCGTGGCTTCAATAGGATTGGCGTTTCACCTGTTTTCGGATTGTACCATAGTCCCAGGATACATACTGTATAACCAGGCATTGAATGCAGGTTTATTTTTCTTGTCTTCAGGCAATACCAATTCATACAGGCCACCACATATTAATTATCCAAACTGAGCAGCAAAGTTGTCAGATGCCACAATATGCTCCTTCTAAGATCCTGTTGCTACTCTAAAGATAGCATTGCGAATTTGTGGACATTCCGTGTAGGGTTTAGACTGGCATGGCCAAAAGGGATTGTTTTAAAGGTGTATAGCAGGGTAGCTCTGAAGATTAAAAGCATCTTGAAAGGAAAGCTCTTCAGTTGCAAAAATCCATTTGCCAAAATGGTGGGGGAGGACTTGCCAAGGCATATTGGAAATGCAGAGATGGAGAATGGGTTGCCTCAGCTGTAAACCTAGGGAGACGTCGATGTTTTCACTGGCTAATATGGGGGTGGGAAGGGGAATGCAATTCTTAAAACCACATCTGAAGGAAGTTATTCATCTGCCAAGGAGGGAAGCATTCTAAGAGTCTTTGACAAAAAGTGGGGTTACCCTTCCCCGGTTGCTTCACCACAGTCAATGTAGATAGAACGTTGTTATCCTTTAGAATTCCACTCTGGAGCTGAAGCAAAGAAAAGTTATCTGAGATGAAGCAAACTATTTGAATTTGATTTTCTCTGCTGAGCAACTGCAAGAGTAATGTTTGGGAACATGTTCAGCAACTTTGTTATTTCTGCTTGTGAGGCCTGGGAAATTGGCTAGATGTTACAAACTGTATACAGAGTGTTTGTAGAAGAATGCATATCCTGACATTCTTTATGTCAAAACTCATCTATCTATACACACATACACGCACGAACACAGAGAATACATGAAAAGAGAGGAAAGGCATAAGGTCAATCAGATCAAAGGGCCACCAGTTCGTTGTGGCTATACCATTGTTACGGGAGTTACGTTTTACATTCTGTCACGAATGGAAATAAATACTTGAATTGTAGTCAGATGTGCTGTAATTTAGAATAGTTTTATTAATATTGTAAAACTATAGTCTGGCTTTCTAGAGGAATTATTTTCCTAACCTTTTTTTTCTTTTTTTCTTTTATGAAAGGAATTTGACCATCACTGCCCATGGGTGAACAACTGCATAGGAAGACGCAATTACCGCTACTTCTTCCTCTTCCTGCTCTCACTTACAGCGCATATCATGGGCGTGTTTGGTTTTGGTTTACTGTATGTCCTATATCAAGTGGAGGAGCTCTCTGGAGTCCGCATGGCTGTTACGTATCCTTTATAATCTTTTCAGGAACAAGGAGCTCCCTGATAAAAAAATGAACCCTAGCTAGGAGTTGTTAGATCTCCTTAAGACAGTGCCCTCTGTCAGGTGGGAAACAAATCTCCAGCTAAGAAATGAAGTGTGATCCTTGAGTATTGTTCCTTGACTTTGCTGCAGAATGGCGGTCATGTGTGTGGCTGGCTTGTTCTTTATTCCTGTAGCTGGCCTTACGGGATTCCATGTGGTACTGGTAGCCAGAGGTCGCACTACCAATGAACAAGTAAGTATTTCCAATTTTGTTTTGTGGTTCATTTCACTGAATTTTGCCTAACCGGTTTTTGGTCTTTGCAGGTTACAGGCAAGTTCCGAGGTGGGGTAAACCCATTTACCAATGGCTGCTGTAAGAATGTCAGTCGTGTCCTCTGCAGCTCTCCAGCCCCCAGGTAAATTCCATTCCACCAAAGTAAGATGGAGAAGAGGAGAAATGAGAATGGCTGTCTTCACTGTTAGTGTGAAAAATGAGAGGAAGTTTCTCACAGTTAACCGTATGAATGGCTCAGCAGGGAGATGCTGGGTTGGCAAAAGCAATTGCTAACAATCATTTCAGTTCTTAATCATAGAATGGGAAACTGTAGGAGTCATCAAAGTAAATTCCCTTGCTTGGTGCAGGATGTAATAGAGTATCTCCGACAGATTGACCATCCAGGCTTTATCTGAAGGACTCAACATTGCCTGTGGGAACATGTTTCATTGGCTATAGCTTTTGTACAGGCAGAAAGTTCCCCATGTTGTCTAGTTTGAACCTCCTTCCTTGTAATTTAAACCTACAGGTAGTCCTTGAGTTACAATGGCAATTGAGATTGGAATTTCTGTCACTAAGCGATGTGGTTCATAAAGTGCAACGTCATGTCACCGCATTACTTAGAGACAGCAATTTCTTCAGTCTCTGTTTCCATACTTAAGCAGGAATTGTGGATTCCTAGGCTATAACCTCATCACAGCTTCTTGTTGGCTTCCAGCAATCAAAATTAGTGAGCAAACTGGCAGGAAGGTGCAACCCCAGGTGTCTTGCAAGCAGGCTGGCAGGCAGGTACGTGGCTGGTGCCAGGGAAAGAGGGAACACCCGGTTATTCAAGTGGCCAGAAAGGCACAATCTCAGCAAGGCTTGGGAAGAGCATGCAAGGATATACGAGGGCACAGGGAGGTGTGGCACAAACACAGTAAGGCTCAGTGAGTGTGTGTGGGTGGTTGGAAGCCGTAAGTGCAGAAGGGCTGTGGGAGAGTTACCCAAGCATCTTTCAATCTTCTCTGCCCACTTTCTCATTGACTTTGCTTGTGGGAAACTGACAAGGAAGGATGCCATTTGCAATCATATGACCACAAGATGCTGTAAGCACCTAAGTGCTAGACCCTGAGAACCACTGGAACGTCAAGGACTGATTGTAACCACCACTCTTGAGTGCTGTTGTAACTTCAAACCATTGGTTTGAATGAGTGGTTGTTAACCAAGGACTAGCTGTACTGGTTGTCTGGTTTGTGGCAACAGAAGAAATCTGGCTTTCTTCTGTGTGGCAACCCGTCAGGTATTTGGAGACTAAAGTAACATCACATGCCTCCAACAGCTGCCTTTTAATAATCCTAGCTCAGGGGTAGGCAACCTTGGCTCTTTTCTGACTCGTGGACTTCAACTCCCAGAATTCCTGAGCCAGCCGTGCTGAGGGGAAAGGGAGAGTTTCCAAGCTGAGCCATGCTGGCTCAGGAATTCTGGGAGTTGAAGTCCACGAGTCATAAAAGAGCCAAGGTTGCCTACCCCTGTCCTAGCTCCTTTAATATTCTTCATAGAGCTTTGTTTTCCACATCCTTCACAATATGGATGGGAGAGAACAAACTAATCTTGATTTTTAGCAAGACAGAGTTACTGTTTATCCAGCGGGGTGCTCAGGCAAGACCAGTGGTATCGCTTGTAGTTGAACTACTGAAGGAACAGATCTGTGATTTCTGCCTGAAGAGTAGGTGGAGGCCAAGAGAGCGTTTGGCTAGCTTTAGCTGGTGCCACAGTTGCAGCATTAACTGGAGCAAGAAGATCTTAACTACAGGGATTCATGACATTGTCATCACTCACCCAGATTACAGCACGGGTTGCTTTTAAAGTTACCACTTGAAAGCTTCAGTTGATTCAGCCTGTGTATAATCCAGCATTCCCTAATGGGAGCAGATTGCATCTTTGCTTTGAGCACTACATTGGTTTTCTACTGGCTTCCAGTCTATGTTGATAGCATTTCCCTGACCTGCTAAGGTGCTAACTTTGTCAAGGAAGGATATGAGATTAGTCTAGAATGATCTGTTGTAACAAACCCATGCTGGCTTTGGTTAATTATTAACCTGCTCCCATACTCCCATACCATTCTCAAGCTTCTTGAGAAACTTGCCCTAGCATAGACGACAAATTTTATTTGTTTGTTTAATTTAAATTTATTTGCCCCCTATGCTGCCATAGGGCTACTCTAGGTGGCTTACAATAATAAAGAAGTAAAATTAATAGAACCTAAGTAAAATTACACAGAAGTAAAATTAATAGAATGTTAAACAATGACAAGAAACAAAATGAGAATAGTACATCAATATGATAAGCAAAAAAATGGATGGTAGTGAGCAAGAGGGGGAGGGGGGGAGTCTGCCCTCAATCTAGCAGCCACTTCCAACCTGGAATACCCCCATTTGGTCCCCACGGCAACCAGCAGAGCTAAAACTGACAGGTTTGTCATTTTATGAGTCTGCTTCCTTCTTCTTTTTTGAAATGGGGAATAACATTTGCTTTTTTCTGGAACTTCACTGGTCATCCAGGAGTTGAAAATGGTTTTACAGTCATTGCACTACAGGTAGTCCTTGACTTACACCAGTTTGTTTAGTGACCATTTGAAGTTACAATGGCACTGAAAAATGTGACTTATGGCCATTTTTCACACTTGCGACTGTTGCAGCATCCCCGTGGTCACGTAATGAAAATTCGGACGCTTAGCAACTGGCATGTATATATGACAGTTGCAGTGTCCTGGGGTCATGTGATCATCTTTTGTGACCTTTTGACAAGCAAAGTCAATGGGGAAGCCAGATTCACTTAATTATGTTACTAACTTACCAACTGGGGCGATTCATTTAACAACCCTGGCAAGAAAAGTTGTAAAATGGGACCAAACTCACTTAACTGTCTCATTTAGCTACATAAATTTTGGACTCAATTGTCGTCATAAATCGAGAACTACCTGTAATTTCTTTAACACCCTGGAATGTAATCCATCTGGCCTTGGAAACCTAAAACTCATTTAATTTTGTTAAGGTCTTCCTTACTCTCTCCTGCATTCTATCTTAAGCTGCAATTCTGCCATGTCCGCGGTGGCATAATAGCGGTTAGATGTGGCTTAATTTCATTTCAGAAAGTAGACAGGTGAGGATTTTGTCACCAGCCTTTATTACTGATTCATAACTTTCTCATTATATAGGCCTACACTTATTTCACTTTCATTTTATTTCTGACATGTATAAAAGGGTCCTTTTTGTTGTTTTGGGAATATCTCTCAATTCTCAGATCATTCTGAGCTTTAGCCTTCTGACAGTGGTCCAACTTTCTAGAAATACAGAAGAGTACAGAAGTAACCGTGAAGAAGGAATCCTTGAGTAGTTAAGTAAATATCAGTTTAGTTCTGAAAGAAAGGAGGAAGTGAGAAAGAAACTCAAGATTGCTCCATCTTTATTCCCTTCGGTGTAATAAGGGGAAGAGAGAAAGTCTGGCAAGTTTTCAAGATTTTGTTGTTGTTGTACCCTGCAACAATAACATTCCAGTAGTCCTTCTGGAGTCTTTTTCCTGACCTGTACTATTCTGAAGGACTGACATGAAACTATGTATATTCTTCTTTGCTAAAGTTTCCTTCCTTTCATTTCCTGAACATCTCCTTTTTTTCTTGTCAGCACTTGAGAGCACTGCATATATCCACCATGTATCTTTAGAATCTTGTTTTTCTCTGCTGTTGTAGAGTTGGTTTGCAATTGTGCCCTCAATATCATATGTTGTAGAGCACGGCTGTCAAACTTGCCACGTCACCTGACGTGTTGCGACATACCACAACTTTTTTTTTGCTGGGGTGGGCGCGGGCTGGCAGTTTGACACCCCTGTTGTAGAGTTTCCCACCTTTCCTGGTGCCATTTGTCTCCCATTCAGCTTCCCTTAGAATTCATCAAAATTTGTTCTACTCAGGTGCAGGATGCAGTCTGACTCTTGTTAATTCTTTCTTTTCTGGTTATCACAGATAAAAAGATAACATCTTTATTTTCCCAAGAGATGCCAGCTACCTTAATTTTTCCAACCAATTCTTCCCGTTTGGTAATAATTAAATCCACAATAACAGACCAGCTTGCTCTTTCTTCCACTTTCTGACAAAGTTATCAGCGAGAGATAACAATAATTTATTAGGCCTAATTGAAATCCCCTACTATCCCTGTTGCATGCCTTCCTGAAAAACTGATCATCTGCTGCGGAAAGGCCTTATTTATACTTTCTCCCTACCCAGGTGGTCTGTGGAAAAACTCCCACAATGGTATCCATTTTCTTTCTCTTTTTATTGTTACCCAAGATATTTTTTTACAGGATTTCCATTCTCTGCTGAATTTTTGTTCAATGTATTTTTTTTCTTCACGTACGGTGCAACGCCCTCACCCTTTCTATTCATTCTGTTTCTTTTCAATAAATTACACCTTTCTAATGTTGTGTATGAATAATGAGCTTTATCCCACTAAGTGTTAGCAATGCCTATCACATCATGTTTGTTTTTCTAAATTGGGAGAACTGATGTTTGACAGAGCAGCTGTGTTTTTCCTCTCCCTTGTAGATTGTAAAGGGTGCAGTGCTGATCAGTATCTAAAGATGTAGGAGTATTAATTTGGTATAAAGGCTGACTGAGTGATCTCTTTTAAAGTGCCTGTGGCCTGTTTTCCAAATTAATAAATATAATTACATTCTGACTTTGGTCATCTAAACTAAGACTTTCCTGGAGCAGAAGATGTATTGCTGCTCCAAACGTTTTACTTCTTTGGGGAAAATGTCTTTCTGATTTATATTAAGCATTCCTACTTTATTTTTTTTTTCTTCCATTCAGTCCTATCCAATTCTCAGACTGTCTGGACAAGTCTCTGTAGTTTTCTTGGCAAGGGTTTTCAGAAGTGTTTGCCATTGCTTCTTAGGGCTGGGAGAAAATGACCGGCCCAAGAACTCCCAGTTTCTCACCTGATGCCTCCTTTAACCACTGCATTAATTGGATCTCACTTTAGATAATAAGGAACACAAAATAGCTCCAAATTAAAAATATGTAACATTATTATTTTGTGCATGATTAAAGAGGAAGACTACGAGTTACCATATAGAGCCAAATTTCCCTTTCACCCTCTGTCGCTATCTGAAATATATTAGGACAGTGCAGCTTTCTGTAGGCATATGTTTCTGTTGCTTAACTATGCAGCTGTATTTAGATTATTTTTCTGCACCCAACATACCTACTTTTGTAATGAATCAGAATCTACAGGTACTACATTTCTCTGCCTAGCATTACCAAAGTTCTGCGTATGCATTTCGTCACATTTATAAAATTATATTCAAATAAACTATTGTGCACAAAAGCAATTTGCTTCCATAAGATCAATAAAAAAGGAAGGAGGGATAAGAGGTTAGAATACAATTCCTATTTGTGTAATCCTGTTTTGTATGTTATTCCTTTATTGGAATTGCAAGGTAACTTTATAGAGCAGCCATTTTATTTGTTACTTTCTTCATTACTTCTAGTTACTTCTAGAAACCGCCATGTTTAGTTTTGAATTTGGTTTTTTTTTGCCACCTTGGTTCCTTTGTTTTTGTTGCTTTTGTGCTTTTGTATTCTTTTTTGTTTTCTAAAAAAAATTAACAACTGTAAACCATCCAGAGCAACTAATAATCTGGCACCACATACATTTAATAAATTATTATCATTTTTCTACGGCTTTAAAAAAATATTATAGGTAGCCCTCAAGTTACCATAGCAGTTGCACTGAAATTTCTGTCACTAAGTGATACGGTCATAAAAGGGAATATCATGTGACCATATCACTTAGCCATGGCAATCTCTGCAGTCCTGTTGACATCATTAAACAAGGATCATGGGTCTTGTAAATGAATATCTTCTCACAACTTGCTGCCAGCTTTGAACAATTAAGTCAGTGGGGAAGCCAAGAGGAAATTGTAAGTGCCAGGTGGCTGGCAAGCAGGCTGGCAGGTAGATAAGAGCTGCTATTGGGTGGAAGAGGGAGTGAGGGCTTTCTGCAGGTGGCTGGTGAGGTGTGGCATGTGCACAGCAGGGCCTGGGTAGCTGATGCCAAGTGTGAACCCATTCTCCCAAAGGAGCAATTTTTGCCAGAAACTGTCAAAAAGCACTGGGGTGGGCATATTTTATGGTATCTGTCGTAACTCTGAATAGTTGTTAAATAACCGGTCACATCTTGAGGACTACCTCAATGTCTTCAAATTGCAAAATGTATGTATCTCAACCCTTACTCTGACATTACACTGCCTTGCTAAGCCAGGTAAATAAATAATTTACTATAAGCACTCTCTTACTATACTTTACTTAATCCCTTGTCACTATTCACTAGGTATCTTGGGCGGCCAAAGGGAGAACAGACTGTATTAGTGAGGCCTCCATTCTTACGGCCAGAAATATCAGATGGACAGGTTGCTATGAAGATAATGGATAATGGTATCCAGGCTGAACTGAAGAGAACAAAGGTGAGGAGGGCATGAAAGTGCTGCATAAGCAGCGGCTTCAAATTATTCTCGGGGTTTTGGCAGTGTGAGTAGGTATCAAATGATTACCTCAGGCATTGCACCTTAGTAATATCACTCCTTGCTTCTGCTTCTCCAGGAATTGAACTTGAACTTACATTTCCCTCCTGTGTAACCAACACAACATAAAAGTGGTGCCTTTGATCATTGAGTTTTTGCTTTTCACTTCTCATCCAGCAACTGAAACATGTTCAGTTTACAAAAAAACATTTGTGGAAATGCTGGAGGAGGAAATGCTGGTCATTTTAAGAGCAATCCACCTTTATCCAACCAAAGACAACGTTCATAAGATTGATTCCTGCCATTCTTCCGATTGTACCAGTGTGCTTTGCTTTTTCTCTGCAGTCCAAAGGAAGCCTTGAAGTGACAGAGAGCCAGTCTGCTGATGCTGAACCACCACCGCCACCCAAACCAGACCTCAGCCGCTACACAGGTCTGAGGACACATTTAACCCTGGCCACCAATGAGGGTAAGAGGGATATGCTTGAGAGACACAGTCAGTTATGGGCCTGTGTTGATTGTCTGTATCAGGGAAATAATGTCTGTCTCTGCATCGCTGCAAAACCCGGTAGCAGTGCTTGTGGCTATTAAACTAAAATGTAATGATTAGTTTTGAAGTAATTAGTAGGTCAGCTGGTAATGCTGTTGAGGCAAGGTCTGATGAGACAAGATAACCTTTATTATCACTTTTCTGTACACACAATGGCACACATTAAAATGAAATTCTGATGGCCACTCTCAAAAGAAGAATACACCCACCCACACACATGCATACACATATGTGTGTTAAGATCGGTCCTCGAAGCTGTGACTGTTGCACCACCCTTGCAGTCACAATGATTGCATTGCTGGGCACTTGTCAACCAGCTCACATTTATGACATGTTCAGGATCCCATGGTCACATTGCATTTTGTGACTTTTTTTTTTTACCATTTTCCATCAAAAACACCCATTGGGCGATCTGGATTCATACTTGCAACCTCATGATTCGCTTAATAACCATGCGATTCATTTAGTGACTGTCGTTAAAAACAGCTGTAAAATCAAGTGCACTCATGCGGTGACTTGATTTATGACAAACAATTTACATTAGATTACATTACTTTACATTACATAACTTAAAAAGAAAATTCCAGGCTCAATTGTTGTAGTAAATCGAAGATATGATCTTTGTTGTTGTTTGGGCTATATTATACATCTGTGTGTTTTATAATAGATAAGAAAATATGTGTCGATGTGTTTGGCACCTTGTTTTGCAGGTTTTCATTTGAGTTCTTAGATCAGTGCTACTGCCTCCCATCCAGCAGTGCTGAAAACTGAAGGGGGGGGGGGAAGAGGGAGAGAGAGAGAGAGACAGAGAGAAAATAATATTCAAGGACATAATAAATAAACATATATTTCTAATACATTTAATACATTTCTCTCTCTCTCTCTCTCTCTCTCTCTCTCTCTCTCTCTCTCTCTCTCTCTCTCTCTCTCTCTCTCTCTGTGTGTGTGTGTGTAAAACGTAATTATTATAGCAATACATAATACTTTGTTTTTTTCTGTTGTAATTTTTCAGTTTTCAAACACTTTATGTGTAGTTTTTTTCTTTCTTTGAAAATGTATTGCATTCACATTATAATTACGATCTATGATGCGATCTCATAGGAAAACATTTCTGTTGCACCGTTTTTATCTCCACCCTTTATGCATGTTTTATAGTTCTGATTGATTCCTTAACCTTCAGGACAGACTACTATAACTTGGTTCTCACAGTTGCGTCATCTGCTATCTATGGCACTTGAGGCCAGGATTCAAGGAGACTCCCAGGGCGACATTGAAGCATGTTATTTATGACAGCCACCCTGTTTTTTCCCTTTCTCTTTACAGATAGCAGTTTGCTAAGTAAGGACAGCCCTCCTACTCCAACTATGTATAAGTATCGACCTGGCTACAGTAGCAGCAGTGCTTCAGCTGCAATGCCTCACTCCACCAGTGCCAAGGTAAATAAGCTGGCTTAGCATGAAGAACAGACCACAGTAGACGAACATACAGGGGGGGCGGTGTTGAAAGGGGAAGAATTTGGTTTGAGACTATAATGCCTTAATTGGACTGATGTACATTTTACTAAAGGAGGGTTGGCAGACTTGTTGGATCTGCCTTAGTTTTTACTAGAACTCTGAGACCTACTAATTGGAGCGAAAAAATGATGGGCCAAGGAATCAAAATAGACATCTGTTGAATAATATATGGGGGGATACTTTGCAAATATAAATATAATTCTTATTTCAGAACAGGACTGTTAATCTAACTAGAACTGAGAAGTAGACTTGTTTAATCATTTGATTTGGGAGAACATTAATGAAAATTTCCCAGAGATTCTTTTGCTCATTGCTATTCTATAAAATATCTACTCTTATGCCAGAAATACAGAACTCTAAAATAATATTTACAGGTAGTTTTCAACTTACGACAATTTATTTAATGACTGTTCAAAGTTACAATGGCCCTGAAAAGAGTGAGTTGTGACCATTATTGACATTTATGACCGTTGCAGCATCCCCACCGTCATGTAATCGAAATTCAGATGCTTGGTCACCGACATTTATGACCGTTGCAGTGTCCTGGGATCATGTGATCACTTTTTGCGTTCCTTTGAAAAGTAAAGTCAATGGGGAAGCTATTACCATCACTCCTTCCTATTTTTAGTTTGTGGTATCTTGTGTGAGACCCAAACTGCCCAAATTTGTTTTATCTATAAGTAACTTTAAGAGGGTTAATTGTATTAACATGTGCATAAAAATTAGCAGAAATATTGTGATATTGTTAGAACTCCTGCGAATCAAAAGGAAATTCTATTAAATTCTAGTAGTTTACTTCCAAGGAAGAGGAAATATATATATATATATATATATATAGTATATCACCTCAAGCTTCTAAATGAAAGTGGGACAGAAATCCAAATCCAAACAAATCTAACAAACTTTCAGCTGCTGTCAACCATAGAATCATTGTCTGCTCAGTTTTGAATTTATGTTAACCATGATTGCATCAGAAGCCAAATTAGGCAGTCAGGGGCTGCAGCAGCCAGAGTGTATTATATTTTTCCATAGTTTTGCTCCCCTATTGTCCACTCATCCCTTTTCTTCCACCTTCTCCCCCACCCAAGGGGCGATACAGGTAGGATGTCTCATTTTCAGACTAGCTATGTAAAGCTGGCAGTTCTTTCTATGAGTGTGCCTGAGAGAGAACATTTGAAATGTTTTAAAGTTTTGTATGATTTATTATGTATTTAACAGTTTTTTAGTTTATTGTATTCTTGTTTAACATACAATATTGATACCCTGTGAATTGATTAAATAATTATAACAAACTCAGCTTAGAAATATAACCGAACCCATCTCATCCAAGGCATTTATATTTGAGGTAGAATAATAATACGTGTATTCTAGATTCATATTCAGGATTCATATTCAGGATGCATTATGTTGACTTTCAGTAAGTGAATTATAACGTGTAACTTGAGTAGCTTGCAAATTTTCAATTTCTATATTGAGAAATTTATTTTCCTTCTAATAGGCCTATAGGATGCCTTGAAGGAGCAGGCGGCATACTTTATTTTTTATTTCTTATGCACAGCTTAGGAAGCTATCAAGTGACTCCTGTATCTTTTACTCCCTATAACAGCTAAATCGAGGAGACAGTCTGAAGGAGCCAACATCTATTGTTGAAAGCAGCCGAAACCCCAGCTACCGTTCAGAACCAAGTCTGGAACCAGAAAGTTTCCGATCACCTACTTTTGGCAAGAGTTTCCATTTTGATCCTCTATCCAGTGGTTCCCGCTCCTCCAGCCTCAAGTCAGCTCAAGGCACAGGCTTTGAAATGGGCCATCTTCAGTCAATCCGCTCCGAAGGCACTACTTCCACATCTTACAAGAGCTTGGTGAACCAGACACGCAATGGGAGCTTGTCATACGACAGTCTTCTCACACCATCTGATAGCCCTGATTTTGAGTCAGTGCAGGCAGGTTCAGAGCCAGACCCGCTCATGGGATACACGTCTCCTTTCCTTTCAGCCCGTATTGCTCAGCAGCGGGAGGCTGACTTGCACAGTCGTTTTCCAAGCTCTGGTTCGCCCAAACACCAGCAACCTTGTGATTCTTCACCCGTCCGCTATGACAATCTTTCGCGGCATATTGTGGCTTCCATGCAAGAACGGGAGAAGTTGCTGCATCAGTCATCTATGCCGTCACCCCTGGCCAAAGAGGAAGATACAGGCCTAGGGGACTCTGGGATACAGTCCACGCCGGGGTCCAGCAATGCCCCACGAACGAGTTCCTCTTCGGACGATTCAAAACGTTCACCTTTGGGCAAAAACCCACTCACCCGCCCAGTGGCACCTCGCTTTGGCAAACCAGAACCACCACATGCACTTAGAGTGCGCGTGCTGGGCTCCCCAGACCAGCTTTCATCCTCCCACATGGGCAAATCTATGTCTTACAGCAGCCAAAAACAGTCGCCTCAGGCTGTCGTCCCAGAGACTGAGGAGGTGGCCTTGCAGCCTTTACTGGCACCAAAGTAAGTACAAGTGACACGTGTCTCATTCTTTAAGTGTTCCTTGACTTAGTGGAGGATGAACCACATTTAGATCTGCCCCGTCACTGCTCTGGCCAAGGATTCCAAGATAATTGTGATTCCTTTCAGCAACATCTGAAAGAAACAGCTGGCAGTGATCTACAAATAGTGTCTGCTCTCGTCTTGTCCCTTCCTTCCCTCCCTCCCTTTTCCTTCCCGTTCTCCAGTGTGTGAACCAATCCATTTCCTCACCCTTAGCTCCGTAATGCAGGGTACATTGCATAGTGTCACATTCCTTTTTGTGAGCGGTGTGGTCTGTGAGATGGTCATTGGCTTTCATATGAGATGCTTGAAACTTTATATTGCCTGCCTGATTACTACCTCATATATAAAAACACTTACGTGTGATATAATTCATATTCCTATTTTTCTGTGCTCCACTTCCCTGTCTCTTGTGTATTCTTATGATACTTTTGAGGCCGTATCAATAAGCAGGTGGAACAGGTTATAAGAAGTAGTCCTTTTGATAGACGTGCCCTTTCCTGCAACCCTTTCTTGGTCTGTAGTACACTTTTCATTTATCCCTTCCATATAGTGCTGTATTTTGGCTAGATGTGGAATCTCTTCAAGTTCCCAGTGTGTAGAATCCCATTCCCTTCTGTGTGTTTAACTTCATCGTCCTAAGACACTAAAACATTTGTATTGCCTTGTCAGTTTCTGTGGGCTGACAGTCCACTGCTGTTAGATTTCCCTTTGCATCCCAGGCAATGCCAATGTGTATTCCAAATTTTCCTTCCCTTAAGCTATCTGTGAGGCATCCTCCATTTCCATTGCCATTGAATGAGTGCTCACTTCCTGATGCCCTTGTATCCTTCCTTTTCCCAGAGACGAGGTGCAGATGAGACCCTCTTACAGCAAGTCTAATGGACAGCCCAGGACTCTGGGCTCAACCTCACCCATCCCTGGCCAGCCACCTCTCAACAGTCCCACTCGAGGAGGAGTCAAGAAAGTCTCTGGAGTGGGTGGGACCACATACGAGATTTCTGTATGAGGAGCCGATCTCCCCGCTATCTACTCCTCTTTGGCTGATTTCCAAACATCCTGTCCCTGGTGAGCAGGAGACATGGATTTTGCTGGGCAAATGGTTGCTCCATCACATGCATGGACTTTTTAAAGAAATAAAGAAATAAATCCAGGTTTTGGTGGGTTGGGGAGAACAGAGAGGACAATTACCTTTTAAACTTTAAAACTATTTTGAGAGAGTTTCTAAACACTACAATGGGATCTCGGCCTTGCTCACCTCCGCAGCCTGCACTCTTCCCTCTCAGTCGCCAGGAGACTGCCGTCTGTAGCACTTTGCCGAGAGTGAAGGGAAGGACTTGGTGTCAGCCTCCTCGTGTGGAAGAAAGTGCAGGCTGTAGCCTGCCTTGCTACCAACAGAACAGTTAATTGTGGACCTTGTGCAATCGCTCGCCTAGTGCGGTAGGGGTTGATCATTTTTAATTTTTTTTTATTATTGCTACGGATTCTATATTTTTCCTCTTCTGAGTTACTGGGTGTGTGTGTATATATAAATATCTATAAATATATAAATATAAAAAGAAAAAGAAATTATATCTACCCCATAAGTAAGGGAGGTAAGCTTGGTCATACTTCATCAGCTGGGCCTGAGGAAACCATGTGTAAACCATATTCAGGAGAATCTGGTGGGGTATAGCAGAATAGCCATTTGGTTTACTTTCAGTGAAAACCACTGCAAAACCACTAACCCACCGACAGGGCTGAAGAAACGCCAGCATCACGTTTGATCTGGCCTGGTTATTTCTGCCTCTGGCCAAGCACGAGCAGGAGGATTTATTCCAGGAGGGAGCATACAAAGGCACCACTTCTATTATCTCTGGGTTTTGGTGTTGAAAATTTTCCCACAAATATATATATATATTTTCCCCTGAAAGTCTTGGAGGGTTTAGGAAAACTGGGGGAGCATTTGGGTTTACTTTTTCAATGTCCAGACAGATCTCTTTCAGAATGATTCCCAGAGAGAAAACGCTGTTCTCTGTAAACCAGGAAGCATGTGAAATACTCATTATGTATCATTTACAGCCTTGGATTGAGGTGCTAAATGGAAAGGATAGCAGTGGGCCCGAGTCCCTTGTGTGGAGATAGTATGTGCATTAGGTAAATCCTCCAAGTGGTTTCCTGTGTTTTTTTACCTTGCTTTTATGAAATGCTCCATATGAATTTCTTGTGATGTCACAGTTCTTTATTCCCAAACTGGGCAAGAGAAAGAAGAGAGAGAAAAAACTAACCAAAAAGCAATATTTTTTCATATGCCAAAAATCTCTCATCACGTGTAAAAGCCCATGGCAGTAGAAATCAGCAACCCAAGAATCCAACAGTCTAAGTCTCTACTGAATCTTTCTCTATGGCAATATCTAAACTGTGGCCTCCGTTAGGCCACACTTTTATTTTTATTATGACTAGCCATTTTAAATTGAGGAATAAAAGAATACAATGAGCCAGTTCCTCTATTCTTGTGTATTTTTTTTTAATTTTGTTAACTGGAAGATATGTGTGTCATCAGTGTTGCTTGCAGTGGGCCCAGAATTGTTCAGCAGATCACTGGATTCTGGAGTTTGGCCACTGTAACTGCAACCATCAGATGGTTTTCTTAAACAGGTAAGTGAGGATCATGCATTCTAATATTTACAGCCCAAGAATTACACCATCATTTTTGAAGTAACCTGGGATTTATAACCTGGATTATAGATCTTGGTTCAAATAGTTTCTAATTGCCTCAGGAGTCAGGTCCCTAATAGGTATTTTTCAGGTAATAAGTTTTGCCAGTTTAATGCTTCTAGTTTTGTTACATTCATCCCTAGAGAGCATAGCAATTAATTATGATTAGGGATTTAGGTTGGGGGACGCAGCTGGGGTGCAAGACCACCCAGTGCCTATGCCTAAAAATACCCTTCTAACTCCCAGTGAGGAAACTGTCAAGCACTAATCATGATGCTTCTCTAATTTATTATTAAATCTGGCTTCACTTCACTTCAAACTCTAGTCCTATTTAGAGACTATTTCTGTTAGGAAAATACAATGCTAAATTATATGTCGAAGAGGAACTTTGCTCAGGCAAGTATGTTTTTGAGACTTTAGAATACATATGAGGTAATCCCAAAGTATTGTGGCACACTAAAATAACAAAATCATTTGTGACATAAAGTTTTAGAAGACATTTTCAAATCCAAATCAAGTTGAGGATAAAACTAAGCAGTCCCAGTAGGAAAGGGAGAAGCAAAACAGTCTATTTTTTGGTGCCGGTGAACATTTTCTTGCTTAAGACCCACCTTTTTTCCAGGAATTCAAGGTGATATGCATCACATTCCTCTGAATCCACACCAGCAAATTTGTGAATGTTTGTTCCAAAGTCACCCACTGCAACTCGGTGAATATGAATGCTATATGGAGTTCTCTGATCCTGTTGCAGCACTTTAACCACTAAAAAAGTAGCCCTCAACCAGTCCGTAGAGTTCTGACTCTCTTAGCCCATCCTTTTATGTTCTTATGATAGTGATCTGGATACTTAGCAACCCGTTCACACTTACAACTGGTTGCCAAGCACTCTGTGATCACATACCGTAATTGCTATTTGCAAGCTGCCCTGCCAGTTTCCTTAGAAAGCCAGTGTGAAAGTTGGCAGGGAGGGTCACAGGTCGCTGGGGCAAGTCTCCTCCACCCATGCACCCTTGTGTGATTCTCACTGGATGCACCCCATGCACCCTCCATGATCAGCACTGTGCATCTTGCACACATCCAACCTGTGGGGTTCCTGTCACACACCCGTGCATTGTTCCCCAACCATTCCCCACATCCTTGCACATAAACTCTTGCTCCTTTCTATAGGCTGCACTCCTGGGACTTACAGTTTCCTGCCAGATTTCCCACTGACTTTGGTTGTGGGAACTGGCAGGAAGTTGCCTCACTTAATGATCATGGGATTCAATTAATGACATCAACTGTGATTGTGGGGATTACCATCCCTAAGTGATGTCACACTTGACAGCTGCATTGTTCACCAACAAAAATTCTGGTCCCACTTGCCATCGTAAGTCAAGGACTAACTGTACACCACCTTGCCTTCCCACTGACACCAGTGGGATTTTACCTTCTAATTTAAACAATGTGTGGGCTTAACTATTTTTGTTGGAACCTTAAACAAATAATAGTAATTAGGTTTCTTTACAGTGCAGGGACACTCCCCCCCCCCCCCCCCGGTGGCTATTTACACGTGGAAAAACATGTAAATCTGTTGATTAGGAATTTCTGATTATGCATGTAATTTAACCTTAGGGTTAACTAACTATACATTAAGAATGAAAAAAAAAAAGGTTTTGAAAGCACAATTTCTATTGAGAGCATAATTCACTCAGAATACTAAAAATGCAAATTTGAGTTAAATGCTGTATAACCTCATTCACCACACATCTTTAAAAAGTGCTAAAATGGAATGAATTTTTCTTGAATGGCTTGGTGAATCATTGCAGAAACATAGAGAAAGGGTTCTTGATTGACCAAGAACCAATAAAAATGCTTCCACTCAATCCATTTAATGTATTGGACCATGTCACAGGCTAAAGAAACAGGGAACTATTAAAGTAGATGATGTAAAAGTTATTAATTTTTAAGACCATTAAAAATTCAATGAAAATGTTATATATTTTGTCTTCAAATATAGCAGTTTGAACTGACTTTCAGAACAATAAAGAATTACTCTATTATTTCATTAATATGATTGTCCACTTTCTAGGTAGCTGGGCGATCAACACGAGTTAAAGACATTTAACAAAGGAAGAACAAAAAGCATATGATGCTGGGGCCAGATGCCCAACTCATATTTTTACAATTGATGTGTTTTTATGGGATCTACAGAATGTCAGGCCTATTGGTTCTTACAGGAGAGGCAGTCCCATAAACACTCATGGCCCATCCTGTGCCAAGAACGGTTTTATAGGTGACTATTAATGCTTTGAACTGAAGCCAGAAGCCCATTGGTAAATAGTGCAGCTCACATTGTAGCAGTGTTACATGGATGTACAGAGATGTACTCATAAATAATTGTTCTGCTGAATTCTGGACAGCCTCATACACAGCATGTTGCAGTAGACCAAATGAGAGCTACTGAAGATGTGAATGACTGAATACAATCCCCCAATCCAGGAACAGGCACAATATTATTTTTGCACAGAGGCCTACCAATAGGAGCTAGGCATATATAAGGACTCTTGAATTCTGTACCAATTCTGTCTTGGGTATTACGTCTTCATCTTGAACTAACAAAATCTGAAGCCTGGTAGTCCCATAATCCACAGTTATTTGGCCTTTCTAGTGTTGAGCCTAAACCTGTTCGATTCTCACACCCCCACTGCATCCACATATTGAAAATTCACTTCACATTGGACTCTGACTTTGGTACAGACTCTGTAGAGTTGAATTAACGACATCCTAGCTCAGGGGCTGTAACTTTAGCCACCTAGATGCAATTTCTTGGGGTGGTACCCTTAGTCACCTTGATATTAGATTAATATACCTCCTAACTAGTCAAGGCTGTCCAGGAGACATGTGCTTGAGTCTGGGTGATGTGATTTCATTCTGGAGGGAGGGTTCCACCATTATTTTCTTCAGAAGCCATCCCTAGACTCTAGACACATTTTGGATAACTGGGTTCTGTCATTAACCTTCCCTTTTTAGGGAAAGTTGTTGAGAAAGTGGCTACCTTGCAGATTCAGAGGTCAATGGATGAAGCAGATTATCCAAACCAGTTTCAATTTGGTTTCAAGCCACAGTATGGGGATAAAATAGCATTGATCACACTTATGGATGACCAATGGAAGGAGCAGGAAGGGGAGAGTGCAGCTATCTTCGCTCTCTTTGATCTCAGTGTGTTTTGATACCAACAGACATCTCTCTGGCTCCAAGGGTTAGGAGTTGGGAACACAATATTAGGTTGCTTCTCCTTTAAGTCAGTCCCAGCTGATGTTGATGGGGAGGACACATCTGCTCCATGGGTCTCTTGTGTTGGATGCTTTAGAGATTGACTTTCTCCTCACATCTACATGAAGGGTGATAGGTAAGGTATCATCAATATGTTAATAATGCTCTGCTATATGTCTGTCCTGTGCCAGTCACATTACGCTGTAAAGCAGAAGTGTTCAACTTTGGCAACTTTTAAGATTTGTGGATTTCAACTCCCAGAATTCTGGGAACTGAAGACCACAAGTCTGAAAGTTGCCACGTTTGAACATCTCTGCTGTAAAGGTTTGGTTCCAGTGCCTGGGGGGCTATGGAGATCTGGAAGAACAGGCTTCAATTTAACCATAGCAAAATGGAATGGCTTTGAATTTTAGGATCTCTTGAATTTGATCAATTGCTATATTTACAGTAGTTATGGATAGGGTTATAGTACTCCAGACAGAACCAGTATACAATTTCAGGGCTGTCCTG